CGCTTTTGGAGAGGCTTGCTACTATGAAGAGTGACGAGGTGCCCCTGCTTGCTAAAGTGGAGCCAAAACCCATTCCCTCTGCTGCTGAGACCGATTTGTCTACTGAGAAGAAGGAGACTGCTCGTGCGGGTGGTCATGAGAAATCCACCCTCTATTTCTGGGGAAGTTGCTGAGATTTGTGAGTTTTTGAAACCAGATGTGCTTGAGGACATGGATGTATGTGCCAAGTTTGTTGATGGTGTCAAAATGCTTGTTGGCTCAAGTTCTTTTGGAAAGCATAAAACCGAGTATAGAAGGACTTCTCTGCTGGCCATGATGCAAAAAATGGCGATTATAGTAGCCAAGTCTATGCTTTTTGATCAAGAGGATACCAAGGCTACCAAAGAGGTGGCAAGAACTGTGGTAGTCGAAGCTTATTAGTTGAAACGCCGGATGGTGCCGCAGTTGAGAGCATCGCAGCTACTGAATATATGATAACTCAATAGCCGTGGGATGTCCAAGCTGCTGAAGAGTAGTCTTCTAGTTAACCTTTATTGCTTGAACTTCTTCGATCTTTGCTAGTTGTTTATCAATTTTGTTAGAAAATTTAATAAACTTGTTTCCTTTGCTTTTCTCCATCTTTGCTCATTTTGTTCATGCTTAACCCTAAGAATTTATAGGCCAGTGGCAGGCGTGCTACATTTCTAAAAACAGACAAGCTCGCATAGCCTATGTAGCCGTAGGTGTTGGTGCAGAACTTTGTAGGGTTGTTAGCCATAGGGTTGTCAGTCAGACACCTTACTTACAGAAGCAGAGAAGTCTGCGTAACCACTAAATCCTCCAATTTCGTAGGTTGCGTATCAAATATTACAACACTTTAGGACTTAGTGTAGATCATTCTGCACTTGGCAGGGGTGAAGTTTATCGATCACGTAGCTTGTCGGCAGCAGATTTTCACAAGAATGTGCGGTTGTATAAGTCTAGCATGACTTTACTGCTCGTAGGGCAAGCCATAGGGAGTCTTCTGGAAACCATAGGCTACCATAGTGCACTCGGTAGCAGCTTTAGGGTTCCAGGGTAGCCATTCATCGGGTATACTGCATAATGTGCCCCCTCCGTGTTTGGGGCCCGGTTCCCCATGGATTAAGCCAAGAGACACAAAATCCTTTAGTTAGCTAAGCCTTGAAAAAGACCATTGTGGCTACTTTGAGGAATCCCGACATAAGCCATCATGCATCTAGTTATACTAGGGCAGCCTGGCTCATCCACGTCTGGATATTCAGAGTGTAGAGTTTATCCTCCTGCTTAGGAGAGCACTAGAGAGCATGGTTGGTCCCTCGATGGCTGTAATTCCTGTGGTGAGTCCCTAAGAAAAACACGATCTTCTTTTGAAGTGACAAGTTGTTGTAGACATGTAGTCAAGCCAAGTTGTAAATTACTTCTGAATTCCTTATTGAAAAATGAGTGAAATGAATAAATAACTTAGCTATAAAAGACTAAATGACAACTGGATAGTCCTCGATTTGTGAGGTGGTGTCCTATTGAGCTGTTTGAGTCTTCGAGTCTTGATATAATGGGAGGTCACATATGATATTTCCTTAGGTTGTAGGCATTCCATTGCTTCTCGATCTCTTTATTGTTTATGGCGGCGAAAGTGTAATTACCTTTGCTGTCTACTCTGCTGATCTTGTATGGACCTTCGCATATGGAATCCATCTTTTTAGTAGCCTTTTTTACGGGCAGTGATGAAGGCTTTTCTTAGGACTAAATCTCTAGGTTGGAACTTATCGGATCTTGGCCTTTTTATTGTAGCTGGAGAGGAGTTGATGCTGGTAGGCTGCGATGCAGGTGATGGTCTGCTCGAATTTCTCCTTTGCTAAATCTAAACTTTTGGCCATCTCCTTACTATTCTGCTCAATGCTTGGCAGTAGACTGTTGATGCTTGGCACGATAATGTTGGGAAGAATGATTGCCTCCAAACCAAATGCCAAAGAGAAAGGAGTCTCACTGGTTGCTCGTCTTTCGGTGGTGCAATATGCCCATAGACATCTGAGGAGTTTGTCTGGCCATTTTCCCTTTTTGTCGATAAGGATTTCATAAGGTAGTCAAGGATCATCTTGTTAGATGCTTTGGCCTGCCCATTGCCTTGAGGATACCTCAGCGTGGACATGTGCTGCTTGATGCCATACTTTTGGAAGAATCTCGCCAAATCTTTGCCCACGAATTGTGGGCTATTGTTGGTGACGATAGACTAAGGGATGACAAATCGACAAATGATGTTCCTCCATATAAAGCGCTCTATAGTCCGTTTGAATCGTGGTTGTCGTGGTTCTGCTTCTACCCATTTGCTGAAGTAATCGGTTGCCACGATCATCATGCCCCTGCTCCCAGTAGCAAGCGGCATAGGTCTTACAAGGTTGATTGCCCACTGCATGAACGGCTAAGGACTTGTCTACGAATATAGTTCGCTGACAGGCAGTGTTAGTACTGGCTTGTAGCATTGGCAGTGGTTGTACTTTTGTACTAACTCCTTAGCATCTTGGTGCATGGTAGGCTAGTAGTAGCCTGCGTTAAAAACCTTTTCTGCTAAGGATCGACCTCCAGAATGGTTTCCACAAATGACTTCGTGGATTGAGCTTAGAACCTTTAAGTCATTGGGAGGTGCTAGGCAGCGGAGATGTGGTTTAATGTATGATCTTCGGATGAGAATGTCGTTCCACATGTAGTAACGTGCTGCTTTTATTTGGAGCTTTCTATACTTCAGCCTTTCTGTGGGGGCTTTGCCGTTGACCAGGTAATCTGTAATAGAACTTTGCCAGTTGGGAGTTATACTAACATGTGACACCTCGGCTGCTGGCTCTGCCTCTATGCTTGGCTTGTCTAGATACTCTATCGAAATAGAATGTTTAAGTTGGTGGTCAAGGGCGGGGCCTAGACTGGCTAGCACATCTGCGTAGGCGTTGTTTGCCCACGGAACTTGAGTGAGAGTGTAAGTCTGAAATGCCTCAAGTTGCTTATGTACCTTCTTTAGATATTGCACCATCATTAGATGTTTTACCGTGTGCTCCCCAGTAGTCTGGTTGGTGATTAGCTGGGAATCAGAATGAATTGCGAGCTTCTTCACCGCCAAGTTTTTTGCCATTCGAAGGCCTGCTAGTAGAGCCTTGTACTCTGCTTCATTGTTGGATGCTTTGAAGCCTAGAGTGATCGTCTGCTCAAGCATTAAATCGTTTAGGGTGACAAGGACCATGCTTGCTCCCAAGCCTTAGTAATTGGATACGCCGTTGATATGTAAATGCTAGAAGTCTTCGTTGGTAGAAACAGGCATGGCTAAGGTGTGTTTAGCTGCTTCTGAGGCATCATTGGGCCACTCTGTTGTGTCGCCTAGGCTAGGCGGGAATTTTGCTATGAATTTTGCTAAGGCTTAGCCTTTATTGTCGTGTGGGGTCGGAAAACTAAACCGTATTGGCCAAATTCTAACGTTCATTTCATCACTCGTTGAGAAGCATTCAGACCATATAGGATTGATCATAGTGGATATTGAGTCATGACGATGATTGTAGTAGCTTGAAGGTATGGTCTAAGCTTCCAAGCCATAACAACTAGTGCTAAAATTAATTTTTCGATCTTCAGGTATCTAGTTTCCACATCGAGAAGAACTTTAGAATTGTAAAATACTTGCAGTTGGGCTCCTAACTCTTCTTGTATGAGGGTAGAACACACTGCTACTTCTGATACTGCCAAGTAGATGTATAAGTCCTCCATTGCTTTCAGTTTAGATAGTACAGGAGGTGATGTGAGATACTTTTTCAGGTCTTGGAAAGTTTTTCCCCACACTTCATCCCATTTATCTTGTTGTGCCCTCTTGATAGCCTTAAAAAAGGGCTTGTATCGATTGTTGAATAGAAAGCGGTTGAGGGTAATTGCTCATCCAATCAAGCTTTGGATCTCCTTCAAGGTAGTGGGAGATTTCATCTCTAGGATCACTCGGATTTACTTGGGATGTGCTTCGATTCCTCGTTGGGCTACTAGGTACCCTAAGAATCTACCTCGAATGTGCATTTGTTAGGGTTGAGCTTTATCTTGTACTTTCTAAGGATGTTGAAAGTTTTCGCCATGTTGCGAATGTGGTATGACCGTTGCTTGCCCTTTACCATGATGTCATCGACATAGACCTCCATGGTTACTCCAATTTGCTTTTTAAACATCATGTTTACTAACCTTTGGTAAGTGGCTCTTGCGTTCTTGAGGCCAAAGGACTTTGTAGCAGTAGGTGCCTCGCTCGATCACGAACACAGTTTTCTCCTTATCGGGCTTGTACATGGCTATTTAGTTGTAGCTGGAGTATGTATCCAAGACGCTGAGTAGCTGGTTCCCATAAGTTGAATCTACAAGTAGATCGATTTAGGGAAACATATAAGGATTTTTTGAGCATGCTTTGTTGAGGTTGGTATAGTCTACGCAAAACCCTCCATTTGCCCTTCTCTTTCTTCACGACTAGCATGACGTTGGCAAGCCATGCTGATTGTGCTACCTCTTCTATGAACTCAGCCTTTAGTAGCTTTTCAATTTTTGCTTCGATGATCGCTACTCGCTTGGGTGCGAAATGTATTCTCTTTTGGATCAGTTTGGCATGCAGGGTCGATGTACAACTTGTGGCAAGCCATCTTGGGATTGATGCCGGGCATGTTGGAAGGTGACCATGCAAAGATGTCTCGGTTTTCCATAAGGAAAACTGTGAGTTCTTCCTTCTCGGCTGGGCTTAGACGTGAGCCGATTTTAGCCATTTTTTCCAGCTGTTGGGGATCAAGAATGATGTCTTCGGCGTCTTCTTTGAGTTTCCATCCTATCTTGCTGCTTGGACGCCATCTTCTTGATCCAAAGTTGTAATTGCTATTTGGTAGCTTTTTCGTCTCTTTGGACCTGGGCAACCTCTACAGGGGCAAAGGTTTTCTTCCTTGACTCATTCAATACTTGCATAGTGCATCTTCGAGATATGGCCTAATTAGACTTGATCTCTCTTACTTCTCATCTGGGATGCAGAATCGGATCTTTTGATACTTGACAGAAGTGATGGAATCCAGCTTGATCAACCAAGGTCTCCTAAGAATCTTATTGAAGGGTGAAGGGTCGCTTATGATCGTGAACGTCTGCTTTGATACAACTAGTAGTGGTTTCATGTCAAGTGTGATGTGGCCGATAGCAGTCAAGGTGCGTTCGTTGAATCCGTTGAGTACCTCTGCTCGGCATATGATTGTGCTTTCTAGGCTTATCTTCTGAATAATTAAGAGCTGAAGTAGATTGATTGCACTTCCATTGTCGACCATCATTCTGTCGACTATAGCATGAGCTAATTGGACAAATACTACTCATGTGGAAAGTCAATGCCTTCTGCATCCTGCTCGGTAAAGCCAATGATGGGTCCAGGTTGGGTATCGATTGGTTGGACATGTGAGACTAGTAGAGCATGCTGGATCTTTCTCTGTTTGGAGTTCTAAGTGGCCTCCAAGTGCTCGGATTCGGCGAAGATGCCATTGATCTGAATCATTTTGGTTGGTGGGTCTTCATCGTCATCTGTATTCCTTCTAGGTTGCGTAACTGGATTGTCCAAGTATCACCTTACCTTCTTTCACGAGCTTCTCTAGGTAGTTCTTCCAAGTGTAGCAATCGTTGGTTGTGTGACCGCGACCTCGGTGAAATGTGTAGTATTTGGTGTGATCTAACTTATAAGTATCTCCATTTGATTGTTTCGACAGTTTGAACCATAGCTCGTTCTTAATGTCGTGAAGGATTTGGTGGATCAGAATTGAGAACTTAGAGTAGTTCTTGGTCGTCGGCCTTTCTTTGGTCATGGGTCAATCCCTACGTTTAGCCTCCTGTCTACTTTTGCTGGACTGTTTCCCATCCTCATTGTTTTGAGCCACTGTCGACTCTTTTTGAGGCTGTTCGGGCACCTTGTTTGCTCGTCAAGCCTCGTCCCAAAGTGCATGCTTCTCTGCTAGAGCAAATGAGTCTGCTAAAGTTAGATTTTCTTTCATGATCAATTCTCCGAACAGTGGGTGGTCTGCTAGGAGTCCTTTTTGAAGGCTGCAGTTGTTATTAAGTAGTCACATCTGACTATCTTTGCCTTCTCTTATTTGAACCTCTTCACGTAGTCGCAGAGCGACTTCTTTGGGTTCTTCTTCGGGTTGAACAAGCGGTTTGACTTTTTCTTGATCGAGCGGTAGGATGAGTATTTTTTGGTGAAAACCAAGGAAATATCATCAAAGCTCCGAATGGATCGTAGTGGCAATGTGTAAAACCAATCTTGTGCCTCGCCTTGTAAAGTAGTGGTAAATATTTTGCAGATAAGGGCGTCGTTGTTCCGATAAAAGACCTTCGTGCTTCGGTAGTGCTTCCTCTCCAGATCTCCATCTCCTTTGAAAGATGTGAAATGCGGCATGCTAAACTTATATTGAGGCTTTTTCTGCTCAATCTCGTTCGTGAATGGTGACCTGCTCATGTTGATCATGTCCCATCGTAGTGCTTCATCGGCCACTTCGTTACGTTAGAAATCATGCAATCATTTGTTTAAAAGTCTTTCTACCTCTTCTTGAATTTTCCTTTGTTGGGGGTAACGGAGTTCTTGGCTGCCCCCAATCTTGATATGTTAGTCTAGGCTGTTCTTCTACGTGCTCGGTTAGTCTGTGTCGTAGTGGTGGTGCATGTGGTCCATTCCTAGCAGACGAAGGAATTCTTCGTAAGCTGCAGGTTGAACTTGAGCCTGATTGATTAACTGCTTCTCTCCGTCCATCGTGCTGCTTACTCCGATATGATGTAGAGGTTGCTTCTTGCGCGCCTAGTTGCGAATGAACACTTCGCCTGGAAGGCTGCTCATGTTGATTATCGGAGTGTGGCCCCAACTGTGAGTGTATACTCATCCGCGAGCCTAGTCAAGAGTGCATGCTCATCCGCGCGTTAAGACGAGAGTATACGCTATCTCAGGGGCCTAATCGGGAATGTACACTGCCTGAACGCTCGATTCTTGGCTGGTCGAGTGGCTGCTTGCTAGGATGCTTCTGGAGAGGTTCTTCATTTGCCTTTGTCCTACTTCGGGACACCTCGTCTGGGGCACGTTGGATCTTGGTGCGTTGCAAGAGTTGATTCACCAAGGTCGTCTGCTGTGCAATGGCGCTCATCAACCTATGACTTGTTGGGACAAGTGTTGTTCACCATTCGGATTGGAAGAGCTTGGAAGGAATGCGCCTCTTTAAGCAATGGAAGGGTGGTAGACTCCGGGGGCGAGATTTAAGTTGGGAAATGTCAAATTGGCAAAGAAATGTGATAAAAATGTCCCCGATTTAATCGTAGGTCTTGACATTTGAAGCGGGAGGGTTGAGCTAATTTTGGGCAGACTTAGGCTGCTGGGGAAACCACGAGAGTAGGCTGGGCCACGGGAGTGGGCTTATCGGCGTGTGGTGCACGTAGGTGTAAGGCTTAGGCTCGGCTTGGCAACGCATTGGGCTCACATTGGGTTTGGTCGGCAGCATGGCCGGCTTGGCTAGGGCTTGGGCCCTTGAAGGTTGAAGTGGCACGGCTTGGGTCGTGGCCTTGGAGCAGTGGCTTTTGCCAAAGGTGGCTGTCGTGGTGGTGCCTCGTGGGGGTGCCGTTCCACTCACCGATATGTTGAACCTTGTACATCGCCGTGGACCTAATCCTTAAATGTTGGAATTTCCATTTGTCGAGCTTTCCAAATCTCTTGCCATTGTACTTTTCTTTTATATTTTATCAAAGAATTTTTAGAAATAAAAATTCCAAGAATGATAACGTACGAAAAATCTACACATAAGGAAAGAAACAAAAAACCTTAGATGCAAGAGTCTTCTACGAGCGTGTGACTTAACTCTCAATGAAAACACCAATCTGTGGATGCAAATTTCTTACTCGTTCTTGGACAAAATTGCACCTACAAAACAAATAACACCTTAGGTCAAGCTCAAGAGCTTCACGTGCCCACGACAAATGGGGGCCTCGGGGGGGGGGGGGGGGGGGGGGGCGGGGCTTTGACCGAAGAACCTCCGATGCCAAAGTTAGAATTTTGAGGGGAAAGTATTTGGAGAATTTAGAGAATTTAGCAAGAGAATTGGAATTGAGTTTTGGAGAGAATGAGAGTGTTTATATAGGGGTGTGGCCGGCCCCCTTTGGAGGATAGGGACCGGCCACTTGGATGGCTGTTTGGGCTAGGTTCTTGATTTGTAGCTAATTAGTAAATTAATTGAATAATAAATCAATTAATTAGGTAATTAATAAAATTAAAAATGAATGATTTGGGGGTTACCCTGTGGAGAAGATTTGATAAGGATGGATGAAATAAGTTTTGAGTTAATACCTATTTTGGGCACTTTTGACTTGATCAAGGGATGATTGCTTGCTACTCGCACGTAGAAATCTTAGTGTGCCTCGAGGGTAATTTTGTCCTTTTATCCAAAAATTCACGTTTCGCCTCTTGATTATTCTTGGCTCCACAAAGATCACTAAGGGAGCACCTAACAAGCTTTCCAAGATTAAGGTTATGAGGTTGTCGATGCTCAAATGTGGACGTTGATGTCACAGAAGTCATTACCAGTCCAAGCTGTAACTAAAAGTGATCTCAATTCTGGTCGAAGAGTTTAAAACCTGATTTCAATTGTAGGGATAATCTTGATGGTGTAGATCTATTTTAAGAGTCATTTGTGATAAAAACTCGATTTCAATTACTGAGAAAGAAGTTGAGGGATGGGAAGTGATTTGTTACCCGTTTGGAAGTGGTTTGTGACCTGGGACATTCGGGGAAGCACTCTTTATGTGCTTGTCAAAATACTACTTTAAATCTTCACTCTAAATGATTTATCGAGTAGCTTGTGAAAGCTATTTCTCCATTCAAATTTAGAGTGCAGGCTTATGTGGGCTTTGACGCTCGAGACCATAGATTGTATAAATTATAGAACTTAATAAGTTTTTTTAATTGACGTACAAGATACAGTAACTTGATATCCAAGATAACAAGTGTGATAAGGATAAGCAATAATTAAGTCCTAACCCTGGGGTATAGAGGCATTTTTAAGTATATGACTCCATCTCGCCAATTAGTATTATGGTTTAATGGTATTCCTTTTCATTTGTAAGTAGGTCTGGCAAACGGATTGTGTTTGCCATGTTTTGTGTCATTTTCGTATAACACTTTTTATTTTAACGGGTTGTGTTATGTCACACCCATTATCTTAACAGATCCTTAGCAGGTTGGGTCACCTTACGCAAAAAGTAAAATGACCCGACTCGTTAAGACAAATATTTTTTTTCTTAAATTTGCACATACCACATTACCACATAAATATTACTTCAAAGCAGAAAAATACATTTGTTGTTAAGTACTACGTTTATACCAATACACTAATAGTCTACTACAAAATAACAAATGTGCAAGGGTTTGCAAAATGAAGGAGTGTTTTCTTTTCAAGGTTGTGAAGTCTTTCTCAGAAGTTAAAACATTGCCAGTGAAACTCAAAGCTTGCATATTAGTCATTTTACAAAATTCTTCAATTTTCATCGATCATCATGGAGAAATTGTATTGGAACTGTGGCTTGATCTATTGTCCTTCGAGAGTTATGTTGATAATGTTTTCAGTAAGATTTTCCACTTCAGAACTATTTTCCGCATAAACTAAGTATAGAAAAACAAACATTACAAACCATTCAAATTATGAGAAGTTTACCAAAATAATTATGAAAAAAAATAAAACAATAGTACTATACCTATAAAAATATATTACCTCATTTTGTAAATTTAATAATATATATATATATATATATATATATAATTATTATAGTTTTTTAGGGGTATAAAATTATTAAATTAATATTTTACTTATCATGTATCAAGTTACCCACATATATACCTGAGCCAACCTGTTATCTAAATATGTGCTTATCGAATTACCCAATAATAACCCGATTCTTCATCGTGTCGACCCGATAACCTGTTAATTTTGTGTCGGTTTAATGGGTCGTGTTAGAGATTGTTAGGCCTACTTGTAAGTGTGAGGTTTTAAATTTGATTCTCGCCAAAACCGAATTTGAACCACATTATTACTAGCTTATTGTGAAACTTAGCACACTCTCCCACCCCTTTAATATAGATAATATCGTTTGGTAAAAAAAAAAAAAAAAAAAAGTATGACTCTATCTCTAACACTAGGGTTTGGGGTTTATGCCTCAAAAGATGGATTTAGGGCTTGGGTTTGGATCACTTCGGTTTCGAAGTCCTGGGTTTCGGTCTCGAGTCCAAGATCTACGCTCGAGATCCAAGGCTTGGGATTCAAGGAACATCCCCAACCCGGGTTCTGAGGTTCGAAGGTAGGTCGAACATAAGGACTGGGTACCATGGCTACATGAATACAGTGTATTCGAAAACAGACTATACAAAGTACCACTGTTAATTAAATTTTTAAAGTGCAAATAATCATTTAAATTCATGCATTCCTTCAATTTCGTTTTACATAAATAAATTCCATATTCAAACTCACTTAATTATTATTTTAATGTGGAGCCTTGACTTTATCCTTCCGTTGAGTGAATTGGCAGGATTCATTTTTCTCTGTTACCAATTTAATTAAGATTTTAGAGGATTTTAATTCTTTTAATGAATCTAGGGGTATTAAATTAGGATTTTAATTTATTCTCAAAAATTCAACCTGTATCTAATCAGGATTTTAAGATGATTTATGATAATCCTTAGAAATCGGGTGCATTTAATTAGAATTTTAAAAAAGAATGTAACATTTAATGTGTATTCAATCAGGAATTTATTTTAAAGAATTTTGAAAAGTTGATGAATTTGAGGAATTGGAAGAATTTTGAGTGTATTTTAAGCATTCACAAATCTCATCTCTCACCCTGATATTTTGAGGGAATTGAATCAAAATTTTACGTGAAAACTCTATAAATCAATTAAACTCCATCAAAATCTATAGTTTATAAATCTTAAATTCCTTCAAAATCTCAATTGAATACACCCTTCTACATTTACCTTTTCGTCCAAATATTTTAAATATTCATTGATCACAAAAGATTTCAAGTATTAATGCATGGATATCTTTACACTTTTTGTTTCCCTAGAAGCCCTTATAAATTGGGTTAGGTTTCTCTAACTTTTACATCAAATAACAAGGGCAGCCAAGAGCAAAACAAAATTCTCGTTTTTGTCTCCAATCCAATGGCATCTAGATTCGTGAACTTTCTCTGCTTGGTTTTCGTTTGCAGTCTCATTGTAAGAGGTAAAGTTTTACCCTCTTTTTTTTATCCAATGTTACTATTCCTTGTAGTCTTGCTTAACGAATGATCTAGTTAATTTTTAGTTTATGCACCTTGCTTATTATTTTTTACTTTTTATATGAAATACTTGGTGGTAGTAACAATTTATATAATTTTTCCTGACATTCTTTTTTAAGTTTTTCTCTTCAACTCACTATATGTTATGAGTTCAAATCCCTCCTCCCCAGTTTAGAAGAATTAGTGCATAGTATTTTATTGTCAATATAGTAGTTTACCAACTTTACATATTCGATTATTGCAGGAAATTGCCAACCCTGCACGTTCGACAATCTTGAAATTGCACAAGGAAAGATTAGCGATGACAAGTGGAAAGTAACAATTACTAATGGCTGTCCATGTTCTCAACTGGAAGTGAAGCTTAGTTGCGATGGATTTGATCAGTCTGCAGTTGATCCTTCAATTTTGTTAAAATCTGGTGGCGAGTGTTTGGTCAATAAGGGTCAACCAATCTATGGAAATAAAAATTTCAATTTTGCCTATGCTTCGAAAACTGAGTTTCCTTTCAAGCCACTCTCTTCCCAAGTTGCTTGTTCTTGAACGAAAGATGCTTGGAGAAAGATTAATTTGGATTTAAATAAAAGAGCTGATCAGTTTTGTGGAATGTGTTTCAGAATCTGTCTATTTTTATCAACTTTTAATCTTTTCTTATTTTGCGTTATGTTATCAGATTGTCTCCTTATATTATCTTGACCAACCATTAATTGGTAAATCATTTTAAAAATAGGAATGATTTTGTCTAACCTTTATCATCATCAAATTGTGTGACGGATTCGATGAGTAAAATAGATAATGGTTTTATTTGAATTCATTAACCAGGTAAAGTCAAAAGATTAATTTCACTGGTATAATTTTTTTGAACAAACGATATTATTACACTAAGTTGGTGGGAGAATAGAACCTCACAATGAACTAGCAATAATATGATTCAAATTCGACTTTGAAAACTCTCTGACGACGGTGATGTAAAACATCTTGGCAGGAAACTGTAAATAAGATCTCAAAATTTTCAACAATAAAACTAAAAAGAAGACCAACTACAATAATCGCAGTCAGGGATTACAAATTCAGCTAATAGCGATTAGTAATGTAAAGCCAAAAATAATCAAGAGGTGATATGTGGATTTTTGGGTAAAAAGAACAAAATTACACTCGAGGCACACCAAGTTTCCTACGCGCGAGCAGCGGGCAAGCATCCCTCAACTAAGCCAAAAGTACCCAAAATAAGTAACAAATTCAAAATTATTTTGTCTATCTTCATCTTATATTCCTTACAAGGTATTTACTCCATAACCTTCAAAACATTCCATATAAATTGAGTTAATTGGCCAATTAATGGATTTATTACCTAATTAATCCATTACTTGCCTAAATAACTCACCCATTACACCCCAAAAAACACCCAAAGGCCAGCCACTCTCTCTCCCAAAGAGGGCCGGTCATGCTCTATAAATTGGACTCCCCATTTATCGTGGGCACGTGAGGCTTTTGGCCTTGACCAAAGATGTTGATTGTTTTGTAGGTGCAATTTTATCAAAGAAGAAAAAGGTGAAAATTTGCCTCCACAAGTAACAATGTTTCAGATCATCTTAATCTCATCGAACCAACCTTTTAACAATACTTCCATACAATTTCATAAGCAATGTTGTTACGCTATGAAACAACAGAGGCACCATCCTCAATCCCACACCACGGGAAAATATTTATAAGACATCGCCATATCGAAAAATATTAATTTATATATGAGATTTGAGTATAATAAATTAGCAAACAGTATGAGAAAATATTTTATCTCTTATGTTACTCAACTATGTTGAGGTTTTAAGTTGCCTAAGCAACAAGAGGGAGAAGGGAATCTAACCCAGCTAGACCTTTTCCCCAATAATCTGATGAAGAAAATCATTAGTAACATCTTTCTCACCCCTATTAGCTTTAGTTGATTAGAGCAGCCTTTTCGGGTTCAAAAGCGAAAGACAACTCATATTTACCCTTCGTATATTTCTGACTTTACTTTCATGTTGCTTATATGTATGTTCCATGGCATTGCAGTTAACAGCCAACGTGGCACTGAGCACAAGTACCTTTCAATTACAGTCTCCAGCTCGAAAATTTGTCCAAAATAAGAAACTGGACAGTAAAGATCCCTAAGGACTGATTGTTCTTGTCTCGAAGAATCAGGGAATAGAACCTAGGAATCACTCAATTAAGGGCAACGGAGGTTGCTTGACGTCATTGATAGTGGATTCGCTCACACGATCAAGCCAAACGCTTGATTGGAGAAGGAGAAATCACTCACTTTAAATGCAAAAGGCAAATAAACTATTTTTTCATTAATCAAGTCTACCAAATGCTTGTATTACAACATAATTTTTTATTTTTTTAAACAAACGATATTATTTCACTAAGGGATAGGGGGTGGGCTTAACCTCACAATGAACTAGTAATAATGTGGTTTAAATTTACTTTTTAGCGAGAATCAAACCTATGACATCATAATTTAAAGAAATTAAAGATAAGCAAAGCATAAATGTTAAAACTTCCAAAACGACTCTCATCATAATCTAAATTGACTTAACAAATTGCTATGTAATTCAATGTATACAGCCATTATTATTCCAAATCCAATGCAGGTGAGCAATTTCCAAGTTGTATGTTGCTCCTGCATCATATTGTGCTCGGCTGGATACTAAAGCTAACTTGCGATAGATTTCAGAGTGCTGAAAACATTGATCCTCCAATCTTAAGCAAATCTGGTAGCGAGTGTTGCTAACAGCAGCAGCAAATATGAAATGAACCAGTGAGAAACGAACACTTAGTAAAGGAATATGAACTCAATCTTTGATTATTCAATCAGTGCTTACAAATGAAGTACAACCAGACCTGTATAGCTCAATACGAATCATGAGGTTAAGAGTTAACAGACTCAACTAACTCTACCAAACTCGAACAGACTTTTTAATAGCTTAACAAACTCTGCTGAGGTGTCACAGAGGTGGCATTCCTAACTGAGCATATGTGGCACTGCTGATGTGTACAATTGCACAAGGCCCCAGATTTGAAGGGACCCCAATTTTGCTATCTAATATTATGTAATAATATTCTATATTTAAAAAATTACATTTGTTAGCACTTAAAAATCTCAATGCACAATCCTTATAAGAGTTTTTTTTTTTTTTTTTCTGTTTTTTTTCTTTTCTAAATATAAAAAGGTAATTTTAGGAAGACCAAATTTGTAAACTAAATGATGTGTCATTAATAGGAAATGAGCACGTTTATCAACGCTTAAATAATAATCCAACCATCAACTTACATGTCATTTAGTTTACAAAATCTTGTCTACAAATTTAGTTTCTCTAGCCTTACTCAATATAAAATTTAGAGTACATTGATATATTTTGAGCGTCAATAATAGCACCCAAAAAAAGGATAATTTTTTTTTTCAATTTTATCATATAATAATGCTATATACATTCAAGTGAAACTTTAAAATTAGAGTTTTGAAGTTATTTTTTTTTTTTCATGTTTGATTGATTAAGATTGAACTGTTTTTTATTATTTAGTGAAATTTATGTTTGTAGCTCTTTTTACTTATAATTAATGACATTTATAAACTTACAATTAGTAAGTACTAAAGTTTGTTTTGATTTAAGTGATTATTTTCTAACATCATTACATTGTCCTACCTTTTTCTTTTTTCTTTTTTTTTTCTTTAAATTATGTACCTTAAGGAGGGCCCCTTTATAAATTTCGGACAGGGCCCCTAAAATCTCAGAGATGGCCCTGTTATATCCAACGTCCCCTCAATCTCAACTAGGATTCACAAGTTTGGGGTTGTAACAATGCCTGATAAATGCTGGACCAGTAAGTCATTTGGTTAAGACATGAAAGTTCTAAGATGGGTACTAGTTTAACCTAGAGGGGGTGAATAGGTTCCAACTTAAAAAATCCTATTCAATTTTCAATTTAATTTTCACATCCACAATACATATCAAGTTATCATACTCATATGCAGTTAAAACAATAAATAAAATGTGCACACAAGAAAATCCTCGGGTTCCCAAGACAAGACAAACACTAAGAGAAATGACACTAGTACAAAAAACACTTTGGGTGACGTAGGTCCTTCGTCGTGCAAAGTCAAAAAACGTCGCGCAAAAATTTGCGTGACGAACCTTCGTCGCGCGACAAGCGTCGCGCCAAGCCTATGAAAGAAGGGTTTGCGCGACGAAGAAGTTCCATCTGTCACGCAAAGTGTCTTTGCGTGACGTAGTGACTTGCGTCACGCAATAGTCACGCAAGTGTCTTTGCGTGACGTAGTGACTTGCGTCACGCAAAGTGCGTTGGCGTGACGTAGGTGTGCGTCACGCAAAGTGGATTTGCGTGACCTATGGAACTTTTTCGTCGCGCAAACTTTTTATTTTTTTATTTTTTTTATTTTTTTGACAAAAATATTTTGGATTTAATTTTTAATAATATTGTAATTCAATTCTAAACAATAAATAATAAACCAAGAAAAAATTTAATCATAAACCATATGAAAATGTGCATACAAGATGTCCGAACAAAAAAAGAAAAAACTACAACAAGTAGTCTTCTAGGTTTGATACATCAAACTACTGGGTATCGAGTAGGTGAGGTGGCTGGGAGGTTGAAGGTGGAGTAAGATCAGGTGTTGGCAGCTGGATTTGGAGACCGGACACCACTAAGGCCTGTACAATCATACTCATCTGGGCCCTCATTTGCTCGCCATGGGCCTTTATCTGCTTGTTCTCAGCCCTTATCTGCTCGTTCTGAGCCTTTATATGCTCGCTCTGGGCCCTCATCTACTCACTATGGGCCTTTATCTGCTCGTCCTGGGCTACAAGTTGACCTTTTAGGGTTGTCACTTCCTCCTTCAGGGCATTGACCTCTCCTATGGTCGATTTGGAAGAGGAGGCACCCATCTCACGAACCCGCACCTTCCCCATACCCCGAACAACCTTGCCATGACGATGACCGTACTTTTGATCCAGGACCTCAGTCATGATCTGAAAACCTACATCCTCGGGTAAAGTGACGTCCTCCATCGGGGTCTCCGGGGGAAGCTGGGATGTTGCTTCTTGGAGAACAGCATCGCCCTTTTCCACCATAGTAGCCTGTAATAATAAAGAAAAAAAACATATAATGGTTAATAACAAAATATAAAAAATATTTGAACGATTCATAAATATAAGAATAATAACAATTACATCTACTTACATGAAGCTGCTCAATGATCTCATTGCCAAGTCGAACGTAAATGTCCTTGAACACGTCGATCTCTGGGAACTTAGAACCCTCCTAAAAAAAAAAAAAAAAAACATTAGGAAAATTTTATTAATCAATAATAAAAAATAAATTGTATAAAATTTCAAAATTAATATACTTTTACCTGACATCGTGTCTCAAGCTTATACGGAAAGGGCTTCGAACTGGAATGGTGGAGAAGTGTCTTAGACTCCCGAGCTATCTTGCCAGCAACAGATTTCTTCTGTTAAACACACAATATAGATGTTAGTGCG